AAAGGAGGGAAAATAAAACTGACATGTAATTAACTAACTTAACTATATTACTTACTGAACCAGCGTTTGACTGAACAATAACTAAATAAACAGAAATGTATTGCATTGGGGAAATAGATAGTAGAGTATAAGCCATGGATGCACATTAATCAAGTGACCACCTTCATGACTGACATAAGTGAACCAGTTGCCATAACAGACTAGCTGGCTGACAGTAGGCAGGAGAAACGTAACACTTAGATGGTAATAACTCTAGCACAATATTAATATATCAAATTTACCTTATTAGTTCAAACAGGAATTGTTTATACAGTAATATGCAAGAGACACAAGATTCAAGTTTTAAGGATGAACCTAAAGGATTTAACCGAACGGAGCTTTGAATTATGGTTAGTAAACGATTATATGCACGATTGTAATAGCCTTATATTATGTAAAACAGTACATGAGAGCAATGACATGCCATTCGTCTGATTCTATGCGAACGAAAATTGTAACCGTAGCATGCAGACATAAATTGACCGACTGGAGAAACAGACAAACTATAAACGAAATGCAGCAAGTAGTATTTTAAACGAATGATTTTCACATGAAAGTTTAAATGAACGGATGTGACTAACGAATTGATATTAGGTGCATTTGTGTAATAAAACGACTTATAGTTAGCCATTCGTATGCTGGCTGTGTTCGTTTCCTTTCTCTATACTCACAAAACTTAGCACGGGAGAAAAATTTGAACGAACTGCCGGCAGGCGGGAAAATTACGTCTATGTCCTGTGAACCGGAAGTAAACAGAGAACTTCCGAGATTGTCGACGACAGGTAAGCAGGGGCTACTGGGTTTAAATAGGACCAATAGTCCCTCCCTCAATTACAGGCCAAGTCTTCTATACATATACACACATATATATATATATATATATATATATATATATATATTATTGGATCCTATGGCAAGAGATATGCAAATAATTGCAGCAAAAATCCTGCAGAAAAATGGATGATTTAAGACAAGGTGCTGCAGCAACTAAAGAAAGTTCATGTAAATAAATCTCTGGGGCCTGATGGTATTTACCCACAAGTACTTAAGAACTAAGTCTGGAAATATGTAAACCTCTGTTTTTAATCTTTCAAGATTCTGTTTTTTCAGGAATTGTACTGGAGGATTAAAGGATTGTTCAAAATCTTTGCCTGAAAATGATAAACCTGTGAGCTGTGTCATGTGGCTGGGAAAGTATTTGAAGAGTTATTAAGGAATAATATTCAGGGGGGCGTGTCCGACTTCCGGCGAGTACGGACGCATGGCTTGAGAGCTCCGCTGTAAATCCAGCCTGTTAGCGACAACGATAGCAAGAAACTGCAAATTTTTCGGATACCCACGCTCCCAAAGTGGTACCCCACGACTATGTCACCCCCCAAACAGATGAAGATCATGGACGCGGTGAAAACCCGAAAAAAAGACCGGGGGAAAGAAAGACAAGATGGCGGCGATGCGCCTGGCATGTCGGATGACCAGTCAGACGCGGAGTCCATCTCCTCCAAACTATCGGATTCTACGATCACAGAACGAAGCCTGCATAGAATGCTGCAAGACCTCCGATCTACCATTAGGAAGGATTTCCTACAGATCGACAGCGAACTGAGGAAGGAAATTTCAACGCTGGGTGACAGGACCAGTCATTTAGAAAACAAATCCGACGAGCTGTGTGTAGCTCACAACGAAGTCGTGGATAAACTTCAGAAACTCTCAGAAGACAACAATACACTTCAATTAAAATTAGCAGATTTAGAGGACAGATCCAGAAGACAGAACGTCAGATTTAGGGGTATACCAGATGATATCTCCCACGACGCCCTACCTGCTTTTATACTATCTATCTGTAAATCATTAGCCCCAGACTTGCCTGACTCTGCCTGGACTTTCGATCGCATGCACAGACTTCCACGTCCGGCACGTATGGCGAATGATGTTCCTAAAGACACCATCGTGAAGTTCCATTACTTTGCACACAAGAACACCCTGCTTAACGCAGCACGGAAAGCAGGCACCTTACCTGAACCCTTTCAGAAAATATTTTTATTCGCTGACCTATCGGCTTCCACAATGGCACGTCGAAAAGAATTTATAACCATCACTAAGACCCTGCGCAACAATAATATTTCTTACAAGTGAGGTTATCCAACGAAGCTTCTGATCTGGAGACAAGGCAGAACATCGGTCATAACCGAACCAGCCGAAGGCATGAAGGCACTCACCTCCTGGGGTCTCTGGAATGCGACTACAACAACCTCACGCGATGCACCAGCAACAGACCTTTCCCCAAAAAAACTTCAGGCGGATTGGAATATGACGGGATCGTCAACTACAAAACCATGAACTGCCTTCTATCTTACATGCTTGAAAAGTGATGAGTATAACTTGTACTGTGATCTGTTGGTTCAAATCTTAAGCTAAACTGTTTCTTTCTATGTAACATGTTATTTAAGTTTGTAATGATATTTTAGCACAGCTGACTCTAAATCTCCACTTAGTTAAGTTATATGCCTTAACTCACTCTTCCTTAGTTACCACCTGAACGCTGAAATGTTTAACCGTACATGCCTTACTCGAAGTACACACTGTGACATGTAACCTCTGTTAGCTGCATTACTACAAGCCTGGCTCTCCGTGATTGATCACGGTCACTAGATGTTAACTTACCGTAGACTATAACTCCACACTGCACTCAAATATGGACGACAATTTTCAACCCAGTACTCCTGCACTTAGATCCTTGTCTATAAATATAATAGGTTTACCCAATGTAACTAAAGTATGAAGCACTATCAGTGCAAATCATCGCTTAACTAACATTGGGCGTTTAGACCCACTCAGAATGGCATAATAATATACTATCAGTTACAACTCACTTGATTATGGGGATGAGCGCACACGCCTGCATCACCCAAGAGTTACTAAATACAGAACTTTCTTTAATTTATTTTATGTTCCACGTAGTTCCATGCAGTTTCATCTATGGTTCCAGGATTGCAATAAGCAATGCGGCTGTCTTTTTTATGACACAAGCATACGATTCCGAGCACAAACTTTCACGTGTGCACACACTCTAAATGTACATAGAACTAAGCGCCGACTACAGGTTAGAGTCACCTATCCATCATTTACCTGTATACGGGGTGAGACCCGCTTTATTTTACATCTTATACCTTATCTTATTATTTACTTCACAATTTATTTATGTTTTATGTTTTATAATTCGTTGTTTAAAGCCTATACTCACTGGAAGGGAAAGGACAACCCATAACGAATTAGCATAGACGGCTCATTATTCGGCAGTATTGACCTTCCTTAAACCCCCCTTTACCTTAGTATCACCACTATCTGGTTATCATGCTATTACCACTACCCAGTATTGCATGTTTCGCTCCAATATAATTCGTAAACCGTTCGCCTGCCGAACGCACCCTCCAGCCTAGGTGACACGTTAGCTACTAAACGATGCATGGCTAGATGGGCATTAGCATCACCTTCTTCACCTCTTAAAAACATCACAACTCCCTGCCACTTTGAGCCACCTCTCTTTTTCTTATTTTTAGTTTTGTTTCTCTTTTGTCTTTAAATGCAGTTGCTCATTGTAATGCGGCTCACATCAGGCTGAAGGAACTCTCTCTCGCCAGCCAGGTCACGGTTTGAGACACACATAGTGGTCTCAGCATGACCAAACTACGCCTTCTCTCCAAAGAAGGAACCTTTGTATATAGTTACGTATTACTTGTTACTTCTTTCTCTCTCCCCTTCCTCTCCCTTTACTCATTACCCTCACATCCGAACGCATCAATAAGTAGCCCATCCGTATGTCTTAATGTAAGCAATGCTATACCTGATACTAATAGCTCTACTCGTGTGGAAGCAAACGCTAAGCTTACCCCTCATACCACAAGGACAAGACACTTAAGCACAACCACTAATACTACACAATCAATATAATGGCTAACACGATGAAAATCTTATCTCTCAATGTCAAAGGCCTCAACAGCCCGTACAAACGAAGACAAGTTCTAAGAGACATGCACGACTCCAATGTCGCTATAGTATGCCTTCAAGAAACTCATTTCTGTAAGAAGAACCCTCCTAAACTACGGTCCTCCAGATACCCCATAGCTTACCATGCTTACGCACAAAACAAATCAAAAGGAGTAGCCATTCTACTACATGCAGACTGGGTATTCACCCTTACCACACAACATGCTGACCCAAGTGGAAGATTGTTAATCATAGTGGGAGACCTCAACGGGATCCAAGTGACGATAGCATCCTTATATGCACCAAATGAGGCTCAATTCTCCTTTCTCAATAAAGCCATAAAGAAAATCTCCTCATTAAAACAAGGACATGTTATAATTTGCGGCGACTGTAACTGTACACTAGACCCTGCATTAGATGTTCAACGTATCAACGATAAAAAGCCTAGCAAACTAACCCTCTATAACAGTAAATTATTTTCCAATCTCATTTTTTCGTACGATCTTTACGATACATGGAGAAACCTATTCCCAGCTGCTAAGGACTTCACCTATTTCTCCCCGGTCCACTTAACATATACCCGGATAGATATCTGTCTGATAGATAAATCTACATTGCCTCACCTTCTAGACCAAATGATAGGGACCAGAACCTGGTCAGATCACGCCCCAATAATTATCACAATTGCAGTGCCTTACCCTACGAGAGGCCGAGGCAAATGGAGATTAAATGAATCCATTCTTGACACACCTTCAAATTTAGAGAAGACTGCTCGCGAACTGCAAAACTATTTCGAAACCAACACTACAAACGAGACCTCAATAGAAACCCAATGGCTAGCTCACAAAGCGGTGATCAGGGGTGAATTCATTAAAATAGGATCAATCAACAAGAAGAAATCTCATAACTTACAGCAAAAATTGCTCCAGAAACTCACCACCTTGGAAAACGCCAACAAAGTAACCCCTTCCCGTGCCATGACAAAGCAAATTACAGAAACACGCGAAGAGATTCTAAAACTTAAGATCAAAGAATTTACCACGAATGCAGCAAGACTTCAACGACACTTTTATGGCACGGGTAATAAAGCCGGTAAATTGTTAGCAAGTCAGCTGAAGTCCAAATATCTTCAAACGAAAATCCCATATATTCTCTCAAAAGCACAGATAAAAATATATAACCCTACCGACATAGTGAATGAACTAGCATCTTTCTATGAGGATCTATACAACCTGAACGCAAACGAGAATACGCACACTCCAGACGAAACAGAAATTCAAACTTTTCTAGAACGGATACAACTGCCAAAAATCTCACAGCAACAAAATAACTTGCTCACAGCCCCGTTTACGGAATCCGAGGTAGCTGCGGCTATCAAATCCCTCCCTAAGCACAAAGCCCCTGGCCCAGACGGACTCCCGAATTACTATTATCTTAAACTAGAACCATACCTATCTCCGCACATTACCAAGCTTTTTAATAAAATAAAAGAAACTGGCTGTTTCCCCAGAACTATGCTAGAAGCATACATTATTACCCTACCCAAGCCGAATAAACCACCCACAACATGTGGTAATCTAAGACCAATTTCGTTGCTGAACGCTGATGTGAAACTCTATGCAAAACTTATAGCCACAAGATTGAAACCATTGCTGTCTACCTTGGTCTCGGAAGAACAAGCAGGCTTCGTGCCTGGCAAGCAGGTGGGAGACAATACCAGATTTTGTATGGATCTCATCAATTGGGCAACTCGACAACGTATATCCGGGGTCTTAATGGCCTTGGACGCAGAAAAGGCCTTCGATCGCCTAAATTGGACATATATGAAGACTACCCTACAAGCCTATGGATTCTCAGACTCCTTTATCATGAGCATTCTGGCCCTTTATTCCGCACCATCAGCGAGAGTTCTCAATTCAGGTTTCTTATCTAAAAGCTTTGATATCTCAAATGGTACGAGACAAGGGTGCCCCTTATCCCCCCTCATATTTATTTTAAGTTTAGAGCCTCTCATTCATACAATTAAACGAGATCCCTCACTCCCAGGCTTTACCACACCAGCAGGAGTACAGAAGCTTGCTTTATTTGCAGACGATGTTATTCTTTTCTTAACGAACCCGAGATCTGCCATACCCCATCTCATGAATACTCTTGCCACATATGGCAACTTGTCATTTTATAAAAACAACATCAGTAAAACACAAATACTTCCTCTGAACCTTGAGTCCCATGTTATAGCCAAGCTGAAATCACAATTCCCCTTTGATTGGCGCAAAACTTCTGTTACATATTTAGGTATCAAACTTACGTTATCACACTCTCACACCATAAAAGAAAATCATGAGGCAGTCCTATTGAAAATATCCAATCAATTGAAATCCTGGGACAAATTGAACACCTCTTGGATAGGTAGAGTGAATTCGGTTAAAATGATGGCGCTCCCTCATATTCTCTATCTCTTCAGAACACTACCTATCAATCTTCCCAAATCGATTCTTACGAAATTCCAATCAACAATCAACGCGCACATTTGGAAAAGAAAACCTCCGAGAGTCGCTGCTCACTCTCTATGACGCCCCATTCATCAAGGCGGCCTGAGCGTTCCTAATATCACTAACTATTACAAAGCCTCCACGCTTGCACAAAGCCTGGACATAATGTCAGGGAAAGCCAATCCAGCTTGGCTTAAACTTGAACAGGCATGCAGCCAACTCCATTCACTATCCGACGCTATGTGGGCCACAAAAAACTGCCCTACCCACCTATCATTGCCATGCACAAAATTCCTTCTGACCTCCTGGAAAATGTGGAGCTCGAACCTCTGTTCCAATCAAGAACTTCTCTACTTGGCCCCATTACGAGTCCTGTCTATGATATCACCAGACTTGTCGATACAGAATTGGCCTCAACAAGGCTTAACCCATGTTTACTCCTTGTATAACTCCAACGGCCTCCGCACCTTCCCTGACTTACAAGTCTCTCATAACCTACCTCACAGGGATCTCTTCCTCTACTTGAGAGTAAAGCATATACTGTACACTGCAACTATAAAATATCAAGACCCATCGACACTCAGTTCAATAGGTCACTCCTGCTATAATATAAGTAAAACTCGTACTCCACCGAAATTCCTTTCATTGTGCTACCTAGCCCTGTTAAACACATCCAAGGAGGATAAATTACCTTACATGCTAAACTGGGAAAAAGATTTAGGTGCGGAATTTCACCTCAAAGACTGGCTATCTGCGATAACAACTACCAAAAAATCCACCAAATGTGTTACTCTATGGGAAGCATACTTCAAGGTATTAATGAGATGGTATTTAGTACCCAATAGGTTGAGCAAAATATATCCAACGGTTGCACCTACATGCTGGAGGTGCAATAGCGGAAGGGGTACAATATTACATATTTTTTGGGAATGCCCAAAGTTAGGTACTTTTTGGAACTACGTAAAGAATGTCATACACACCATATCCGGGTTACAACTCTCCCTATGTCCTGATTTCTACCTGCTTCATCTACTACCAAACCTGAACCAACTCCCCTCGACGGCAGCTGTAATTAACACTTTGATTGCGGCCAAATTATGTATTGCATCTCACTGGAAAAGTGACTTTATCCCCTCAGCAAAAGAATTGCTTAACAGAATAAACACTAAGTATTGCTATGAAAAGGAATGGGCAAAAAAAGGGAATATGACCAAATTCAACAGACAATGGCATGGATGGGAAACCACGTACAAACACCATACTGACTTGGGATAACGTCCTTCTCTAAGATGTACAGTACTCTCCTACTACAATTACGATTACTCGGATGTGAGGGTTTCTTGTTTCTTGTTTCTCATCTATCTCTGGCTATCTATTTTTCTCGTTCCACCCTCTTCTCCCTCCTTTCCTTTCCCTAATCTCTTTTTACTCTCCTATCCTCCTTCTCTCCTTCCTTTCCCCTTCCCTGACACCTCCCCCTTGTCGTTATCTCTCCTCTACCGCTTCCATGTTAATTCCTCCAACATTCAATAACGACTAACTTACTGAGCCATCGATTTAGCAAGTGTGCAGCGGATGACAAGGTCCAATGGTTGGATTAACACTGTTATATTTCCCTAAACTTGACTTTGTGCACGACTGAACACAACTGTCCTCACGCAACCTCCGATATGATATCCACCAGAACTCACTACTATGCAATATTCTAGTCTAACAAGTAAATTTAAAATATGGAATGCATGGAGTCCATGTAGACTCCTATCAGAAACTCCCTTCTACCTTCTATACGACCACAAGGCCAATCTTAACATATTCTGAACCAGGCACAGTAAACTAAGCATTGGTCTGACCTCTATGAGGCCCCTGACCAGATCTATCATTTCAGCATATAGACGCACATATATAGCCAGTAGAAGGTTACACATATTCGAATAGGAGCCATCAGCAATAATTAACGGTAACTCTAACACCTGTATCTCACTTCACCATAATGTCACGAGCCCTTTTATGTGAATACGATGTTATATATATGTATTAAAGTATGTTGGGTTGGTTTACTCTACTCTGGTCTGCCATGATCGAGCCATTGCTGTAATACCCGACGATGATATGATGTTCCCTCTATACACATTATGCACACATGTATTATAAAATTGTATGGCTAGTCTACTCATGATGCTCGTGGAACATTGTCTATAAGTTTGTAAAACCCACCATGTAAATGAACCTGTAATGTACAGAAGTGTACGAAGTCTGCTCCATTTGTATTCCCTCATTCCCACCCCTCCCTCCTTCCTTTTTGTACCCCCACTGTTACTGTACTTTTATGCACAAATCTTCTCAATAAAAAATTAGACATTGAAAAAAAAGGAATAATATTCAGGAATTCACTGGAGAGAACATTGTTATTAGCAAAAATCAGCATGGTTTTGTGAAACAAATGCCATGTCAAACTATGAAGTAGTAAGTAGAAGTATAGATTAGGGAGTTGAAGTGGATATGATCTACTTGGATTTTGCAAATGTTATTTGATATGATCCCACACAATAGGTTAGTGTTCAAACTAAAACACATTGGTCTAGAAGATGAACATTCTTGTTTGTGGATAGAACATTGACTTAAAAACAGAGAGTTGTCATTAATGGTAAATCTTTAAGCTGAACAAAAATGGTAAGGGATGTCCCTCACGGTTCTGTTCTGGGATGACAATATAATTTTGCCTCTTCATAAATCACTGGTAAAACCACACCTTTAATATGTTGTGCAATCTTGGGCACATATTCTATCAAGATATTATGGTAGTAGAAAAAGTGCAGAGGCAAGCCACAAAATTAATAAAAGAAATGGAACATTTTAGTTATTTAAATCTGCTTAGTTTAGAAAAATGGTGTCTGTGAGGAGATATCACAGCACTGTGCAAATATATTCATGGACAACGGCACCTCAGACGGGATATTACAGCATTATTCCAATATATCCAGGGCCAACACAAACCATTGTCTGGAAATCTATTCATAAACAGGACTATGCATAGGATACAAGGTCACACATTTACACTGGACGAAAGGAGATTTAGTATAAGGCAAAGGAAAAGGTTTATTACAATAAAAACAACGAGGATGTGGAATTCTCTGCCTGAAGAGGTAGTTTTATCAGAGTCTGCACAGATGTTTAAACAGCAACTGGATGAAAACATAATATTCATGGATGTGATTTTTAATTTGTGGGATAATAGTTTTTTTTCATCCAAGGAGAGATCTGACTGCCATTTTGTGGTCAAGAAGGATTTTTTTTAGTTTGTTGCAAAATTGGATAGCGTTTCAAACTGGGTTTTTTTTGCCTTCTTTTGGATCAACAGCAAAAAGAGATGTGAGAAAGGATGGACGCATGTCTCTTTTCAGCTAAGTATCTGTGTAACTGAAACAAATATATTCAATTATTGAATCTATTGTTTATGCCAGGTGCTGTGTGCATCAAATGCTTCTTATACAGAAATCCTGGATTGGTGCATCACAGCAGCTGATGGGCATGCACCACATCTTCACTGCTTGAAGAAGTATCTGACTGGACAAGAGTTATTAAAATTAAATATTTCAAGGAAGGCTGAATTGACTGCAGTAAGGAGTCTGTCCCAGTGCTAGGTTTATAGCGATTTAAATATATTTTTCATAATGGTGTCCATTATTCTAAAGGCAAATAGGAAACATCTAATTAAAAAATATATATGTATTCCCTCAATTAAAGAACCTTATCAGATCATCCATTTTCATCCTACAACATCAGTTATAAAACTGTATGCACATCAATACAGCTGGCAAATTTCCAGCTTTAGCATGAGAAAGCTACTGTTCAGAGATTCATGTGTGACCAAAACAAAGTTAGAATTACCTAGTGTTTTTGAATGTTTTTTTTTTTTAATGTATGTTTTAATACAGCCGCTTTGCGTAGTGC